TCTTTCCCTTTGTCTTTCCATGAGCTTCTTGTTATCTTGTTGGATTTTCTAGTGGAGAACCAAGTAAAGTTTCTGAGTTTTCTTCTCCTTCTCTTTTTAGGCGCATAAACTCTCTAAAGAAGAAGTTTGTTGTTGGAAGCTTGATGGGAGAGCTTAAAACCTTGGAAGATCACAATTGTGGTGTGGTGTGAAGTTGGTGAAGGTCAAAAGCTTGGAGTCTCCTTTCTTCTTCTTCTCTCCTTCTCCTCGCTTCAGAAGGTTGCAATTGATGTAAGGAGAGCTAAAACTTTATTTTAGTAGAATTTTGTGTTGCATGTATCTTGATTTTGGTCGAATGCTTGCTGATTTGCTTAATTTGGAGTGTGGATTGGATTGGAAGAACTTGGTGTTCTTGGTGAAAGAGAAAATATTTGATGATCTAATTGTTTTGCTATGATTACATGTTTAATTTTCTTCAAAATCTAACTTATATGTTGCTAATAAATGAGAAATATTGAGTTGGAAGCATGAACTACAAGTTAGGTGAGAGGAATTTATAGATTTGATAGGGTTCATAATTGTTAGGTTTGTTATTCATGAAATGCATAACTTTTTGAGTTTGTGACGCTAAGCGTGAACTCACGCTTATCATGGAGATTGGAGAATCCCTCTAGAAGTTTGAGGTTAAGTGTGAGTTTTCACACTTAGCACGAGGGGTGGAAGTGCCTCAAGAAGGTTAGGGCTAAGCATGAGCCTTGTGCTCGGTGTGGAAAAATGTAAAACTTTTACATAACTATATGGAAGTTTGTCACTTAACATGAGATTCCACTCTCAACATGGAAACTTAGCAAATATTTTCAAAAAGAAATTTCTAGTTGAGGTGGTTGCTTACTTAATGAATGAATTGTGTTATGAAAACTTGTTGTTAGAGTTATTTTATAGCTAAATGATGATGAATATGTTGTATGTAGAATGATGATAGTAAGCATTTGTATGTTATATTTGTATAGTTGAAATGGTGATGAATATTGATATGCTTTGTGTGATTGATATGCTATGAATTGCATGGTTGGAGACTTGGAGTGTTGAGTAAACATTGGTATGATATTTTTGAATAAATAGTTGAGCATAGACCCTTATTTAAGCTCTGACCTATTCTCATTCATAGTTTAGGTGTTGATGCTAAGAATGTTGTGAGCATTAAAACATGTTGGTTGAGTTAGGACTTGAGGAGAAAGTGTTGTTTAGAAAGTTAAAGATCCCATATAGGTACATGTTTTGGTGTTTTGGGATGCCAATTATTAAAAAACTTTCTTTAATACGTGTGAAACTTTTGGAGTGGATTTTTTAAGTTTTCTCTAGGTCCTTAATCAACGTGGAGTAAAATATGAAGTCAAGGGTTACAATCCTTAATTGATTATTGAAAAGGTTGTGTGATTCCTTGCGAATAGTTAGTGGGTTAACTCCACACGTAACTTGGTAATGTATATCAAGGTCGTAGTATGCTTATACCTAATTATAGTATTCTTGACAGTGGAACCAAACTTTCCCAATGTAAATGATGACACCCAACAAATCAAAAATTAAGGATTTGTATCCCATTTTAGCTATAATCGAGCAGACATATTTTGATATGAAAGTGATAGAATTGGTTCGATAGGATCAAGCCATTTAGACTATTCAAGTGTATTAAGAGATTCCTGTATGTGAATGCGTGATGATCCATTAGTTTTCGAATTTGCATATGATATGTTGTTGATTGATGTGTTCCTATGTAATGGATGGATATATTATTGTATGATATGTCTTGGTATGTAGTTCTCAAACATGTTAGCATTGGGTTGTTTAGTGAATGTTATAAACCATGAGATGTATTTTTGGTTGATTTACATACCAAATAATAGTATAGATATTCCTTCCTATACTAGTATATTTTTTAAATCTACCTTTGTGTATTTTTCATGTAGTATGGATTTCGACGATCATGATCTTTAAATTAAAATCTTAAAAATTTCTAAAGGCCAAAAATTGATTTAAAATAACTTTAAAGAATTCAATAATATATTAAATAATAAAAATTATATATAAATACTCTTAGGAAAGCATAAGAATAAAATAGGTGAAGTGCAACCCCAATAATTTCTTTTAGTAATATTTCTTAACTTTTCATTTATTTATATTATTATTTTCTTATAAATTTAATATTAAAAATGTAAAACAAAATATTTATATTTAACTGTAAATACTTTTATTATAAATTTTAGTTAAAATATTAAAAATTACAAAAATATATTTTAAGTATCTATCGCCAATTCAAGAATTCGTACTAAAGAAAAGTTTATATTACAATTCACTTGGTTCACTTATAATTTTTTTTTCCACCGATGACAAAAGAAAGAAGACTCTAATGGTGTGTTTGGATGAGGATTTTTACAAATTTAAGAAATTTTAAATTCTTGGTATTTGAATTACTTTGAATTCAATTTCTGTCATTCTTAAAATATTTTGTTTGGATGAGTCAATTCAAATTTTTTAAATTTTAAATTGTTAGGTTGAATATGATAATTTGATTTCACCATAATAAAATTGATTTTAAAAACATATTTATATGTTGAGATTTTAAAATTAAATTTTATAAAAATAAATATTAATCCATTTTTAAATATTTAAAAATTTTAAAAATTAATATTAGATAATATTTAATAATTTTAAAAATATTTTTGAATATCCAATAATTAAAAGAATGAAGAGATAAGATAAAATATATAGGTGAAATAAGAAAACAAATATGAGGAATTTCAAATTCTCCCATTTTTGAGAGAATTTGAAATTCTACTACTTGAAGGAATTTCACAAATGCTTGAATTTCAAATTCTTTGTAAATTCCTCATCTAAACAAAGCATTTCACCTCAAAGAATTTAAAATTCTTCAAATAAATGAATTACCCTATATAAATTTCCCATCCAAACATATCATAAGTGTTCGGTCGATTTTAAATTATAAAAAAAATGAATTTTAGTTTATGACCTATTAAACGGTTTATATAAAGTTAAGAAATGAGAGAGTGGCGTTGCACCGACACATGGTATATTAAGAAATGATGGGGGCACTTCCGTCATCTCAATATCGCTCAAATAATGAAGCATCGACCAATGACCATTTTCTTTTCGCACCATCCACTTGTCCCACGCAAAACCACAAACAATTTTTATTTATTTTTCGAACCTAAAAGCAATACAGTAATAATAATGGAATAATATAGCTTGTGTTGTGTTGTGTTGATTCCCGCCAGTCGCCAGAACATCACACAGAAAGTGGTATAGTAGCGCTTCATTAAAATTTCAGAGACATTTTCGTGAAAATTATCACTGGACAAAGTACGGTTGTTTGTGTTTAGATTCTGTTGGAAA